TATGAGGTTCACCAATTAAAACCAAATCCAAAACCAAGATCAAATCCAAAATCTCAAACCCAAAGTCAAGGCCAAAAGCCTATGTTCCATAACTTTTTTTGAGTGATTTTACAATCACCTCAAAGCCAAGTCAAATGACTTCCAATTCATGATCCATCAATTGAATATTGATTAGGCATATCTAGTCAACCCTCTAAATTTGAGGCCAATCTAAAACCTATAATTTCAAAAACTTAATTGAATTTCAAAGGTTGTAAAACATTTAAATATTTATCGCATATGCCACTGGATCTTGCATCTGATGGAATTTGACCTTGGGACCTTTCCTAAAACCTTTGAATATATCCATAATCATCTTTATGACATATTAAACATAAAATTGAATCTTTTGTGGATCATGGTTGACCTAAAGTTAACCAAGGGCCCACCTGACCAAAATGCCCCTTAAATGAAAAAATTGAAGTTTTCTCCAAACTTCAACATGACCCATCCACATTAGGCCATGAAACCTTGTCTAATGCATCCTAAACACCTTTATGAATGCATTGAACTCAAATTCAAGCCTTGGTCATACATGATTGAATAAGTCAACTCATGTTGACCAAATTATCCCTTAAGTGATCAATTAGGCATTTCAAGCCAAATGACTATTCCATAGCATGAGACCACCTCCATTAGTTTCAAATTACTCATTTAAACTTGTTGGACCAAATTCAACCCTTGATCTGACCTACTTGACCAAATCAGCCTTAAATCACAACCATTGGGTTTAGTGCACTGCGCAGCTCAGTACACTAACCCTATGACCTTAGTCATGCTCAGATTACCTCACTAGGAACCCCATACCTCAAATCATGCATCATTGGTAACTTGGGACAGTGATTGACCCAATTGATCTAGCCCAAGTTAGCCCAATTGATCATACGCTTTGGTCATCTCCATTTGACCTCTATATAAGCTTTGACCTTCATCAAACTCCTATGGTAAACTCCCATAGTGAATTGAGCTTGATTGGTCACCTTGGTCCAGTCATTAGTTGACTTGGTCAATTGAGTCAAAATCTGGTCAAATTAGGCCCATTTGGGCCAACCTCTTTCTTGCATTAAAATCAACCTCTTCAAACCCTCAAATCCACTTCAATGCATGGTATAAAAAATCCCCAAATCATTGATGAGTCAAATTCACTCAATTTCAAGTGAATTTGACCAAGTAAACTCAGCAGAACTTGGTCAAAACTCACTACATTCCCATGTCTTTGATCAAACTCAATACTATTGCTCCAAGCACTTGGCCACTCACTCAAATAGCTAAATGTACTGGTTTTTAATGCCACCTCAGCCCCCATTGACTGGTTTTACCAGTCAAATTGTTAAACAAGCTTCCAAGTGAGTTTAAATGGTCAAGCCACCTAAGCAAACTTTTTCTCCACCAAATGCTGCTCTAATCTGCTGTAAATCAGCCCAAATGCAACCTAAAGCCACCTCTAATGCAGCTCTTAAACCAAGCCGAGCCTTGGTTTAGCCTAATATGGAAAAAGGAAGTGGCCCCCCATCACATGAGCCAAGGTGAGTTTCACTCATCCTCCTGCCCTCTCCCTGGTTCCCATGCAACTTGGGACATGTGATAGGCATCAAAGAGTTCACTCAAAGCAATCTCAACCCTCCATTCCAAAAGCAAGGGCTTAGGGGGGGGGGACCAAAACCTAGGGGGGGGGGGGGGGGGGGGGGGGGAACAAAACCTAGAGCTCAATCTATCAAATTCATTCTCTTAGCAGCCTCCACTACTGAAAACCCTTCCCCTAGTCTCTCCAGCAACTCCTCTACCTTCTACAACCATTCCCCCACCATTTCCCACCTTCAAAACCTCATTTTAGTGAAGAGAGAGAGAGAGTTGTAGAGGGAGAAAGTGTAGTTTACAAAACTTTTAATCTAGCCACAACCAGCTTAAGAAGTCTTATGCAAAGTTAGAGAGGGCATCACCAGAAGCAAAAGGAGACCATGATCATCAAAATCCATCCATTGGTTGGTGAGAAAACTCAATATTTAACTAGTAAATCAATTTCAAACTACTCAAAATTTATAATGCATGGAGCAACCAAACTCTAGGCATTGTAAATATATATTACCATTTGTCTATGTTTCAAATTTTGTAGAATTTGAACGAGTATTTTAAAGTTATGTGCAATTGAAGATTTCAGTTCATTTCTGAATTGAAATCGATCTGGCTCGATCAGTACCGTCCTATCGCGCTGAATGCGTGATCGGATGGCCCACAGGATGCCATGTCGCCTAGATGAAACCTCGGGGACATTCCTGTGTTCAAACGCCCGCCATTACATCCAGATCGGGCCACGTTGCTCAATCTGAGCTTTCCGTGCTTCCGCGGCCTGATCGAATGACTTTGAAGCCATGTTGATGTGGTTAAGTAGAAATTGCATCAGCGGTTTCGTCTTGCCACATGTTCTAACACACGTCGGCTAAAGAAAATGCGTTGCCGCCATTTTTATTAATAAATTGAATTAAAAATTCAATTAATTGCTCAATAACTTCAACAATTCATAGAAAATCTGATGCGGACATCCAACCATCCATGCTAATTCGAGGAGTTGAAGATCGACGACCGAGATCACTTTGTTTTATTTTCATTTATTAAGTGTATTTTAATTTAGTTTCGCAATTTCCCTTTTTTACCCTCTCGTCTTATGTAAGCCCAAGGGGCAAATGTGTCTTTTAATTTCTCTTGAAGCCTATATATAGAGGCTCATTCTCTTGTATTAGGATGATGATTATGATGAATGAAAATTTCTACTTTTGATCTCTTTGTGAGTTCATATTTTCTTGATCTCTTGGTGAGTTCAACTCTCCTAGATCTCTGTGTGAGTTCTATGGAAAGCCCAAGGTTTTATGAAATTTGTTTTTTAGCATCTTAGGCATCCCCTGCATTTTTTCTAGATACGGTTGCTCTTAGGATTGATGTGATATGAATTTTCAAAGTAATTGGTCAATTTTGGACCCAAAACTTTGAAAATTCATAACTCCCAAAATTGATTGTATCTTGCTGTAATTTTTTTTGGGGTGTGATTGTGATAGGAAACACTTGAAGATTTCAAGTAAATCCTATCAATAGAGACGAAAAAAAGCAAAATACTCCACAAATCCCATGCAAAATCAACAAAACAGCATTTTTTATTGAAGAAATCAAACTAACGGAAGAAATAAAAAAAGATACAATTGATCCTCTATTCGAGAGGAGGATCTATCTCTCCCAAATCTCTAAATGCTGCTAGATCAGTCAACTAATGGTTGCTAATCGGATTCTCTGAACATTATGATCAATGATCACTAATGTTGGTAAACTGAAATCTATGGTATACTCGGGACGATAGAACCATGAGATCGTGATTGAGTTTACCTCAATTTCCCCCACAACTAAGACTAAAATACCTAGAACTATTCATTTTTAATCGAGAGTTCTCTTACACAATAAGAGGGGTAATTAACTATGACAGTTTGAATTCATAGGAAGTAAGAACTCATATTTAACTAAACCCTGATACTACTCTCAGGGAAAATCTGGCTAACTATAATCTGCCTTAAGGAGAATGAAATCTTCTATTTGCAAAGTGGGATTCATGCCTTAGTGCCGTTTTTCTTGAGCCAATAACGATCATCACCCTTAAGTCCTATATCACAACCTTCGACTACACTGCAAATACATCTCTCAAAACCCAAACCACAAATGCCTACTTCAAGACTTTCACGACAACTATCTCAGGTTATGCCAACTGCCATTCCATGTCACCATTGTTGACCATGCCAATAAGAACTTTCTCTTTTACATGATATTATTGCCTTCTCCAACTAAGGTAAAGGGCACTAACTTATACCTCCTTTTATACTAGTCAGAACTATTCAATTATGCAAGGTCTAGCAGTTTTTAACTAATAATATTTTCCACTTAAAAATTCTCTCATTGCTCCCCGCTTTATTTGAACACTTGTGTTTATGAATCGAATGAGATGAAGATACTCGAAATCGGTTCTCACTCTTCCTTCTTGATTTCTCTCACGCAACAATTTTATATATTTTTTAAATCAACTTAAAATCATGTCATGTATGTTAATCTGTGTTCTGCTAATCTTTAGCTTCTTGTTAATAGAAATTCCCTCATTTTTCTATTTTTTCTTTTACTTCAACAAAGGTCTGACTTATCAAATGTATATCATTTTCAAATAGCATATACTGTAAATTTTATTGAATATCTTTATAAGCATCGCTAAAACCAATATAAAATACTCCAAATATAATTCTACTTTGATCGAAAGTTCTTTAGTCACCATACAACTACTTCTAATACTAGTAACTATTTCTTTATATAATATATCTGAACTACTTTGTTGTGACCTGCTTTATAGCTGTGGGCTCCGAAAATTCGGCCCCGGCCTCCCCGCCGCGCTTCTTCTTATTCGGCGAGGGAGTTTTAACGAACTAAGTTCCGGGGTAAATTTTGGAAGGCAGATGGGTTTGTAGATAAGACACTACCCAGAGATTTCGCCCTCATTTTGCGAGGACTTTATGATCTGAGTTCTGGTTTCCTATACTGTTGGTTATTACATAGAGGTCAACAATAGCAATTTATTTATTTAACTTCTTGAGATTCGAGGATAAGAAGAGTTTATGTCAGATCAACTTTTGTCCTATAAATTGAAAATATGCTACAAACTTTATAAAGAAAATATGTTAGTATTTATTTTGCGTAAAATGACATGCTTGCTGGAATTAGCCAAGCACCAGGGGAAAATTATTACGTGTGGCGTCCAGATTCATTCGGACACCGCACGTAATAATCTCTCAGCACCAGGAGAGCTGTTTTATATGCTTTTCATTTAATGTAGATATTACTCATTCTTGAATAATGCGAACATGTTATTAATATCACCAATTTTCTTTTTTGATTATCATCTAGCATATTGCTGACATGTATGGTGTTTTTTGTGGCAGAATAATTCTATGCCTTTCAATAAATATGCCTATTTAACTACCCACAACTCTTATGCAATTGTTGGAGAACCAAGCCACACTGGTGTTCCAAGAAGCACCTTTACTAACCAAGAGGATACTGTCACTCAACAGTTAAATGTATCTGACCTTGGTTCACTCTACACATTAATTAGGACAGTTTAGTAGTTTTAGGAAGTGAAGAGATGCTTCTTCTAATTCACTTGATCTTTTGTCTCGCAGAATGGTGTTCGAGCTCTGATGTTGGATACTTACGACTTCCAAGATGATGTTTGGTTATGCCATTCACCAGAAGGGAAATGCAATGATTTTACTGCATTTGTTAGTAAATGTTATACTAATTTTTCTCATTTATTCATAAAATTACAGAATTTACTCTCTTGAATGCTTATACTACTTATTAGGCACATAATTTACCAATCTCAGTGGGCATTTATGGTTTACTTGATAGCAGAAATTTATAATCTGCATGGTTAATTAGTTCAAATGTAGTTATAATGGAAATCCACGTTGAGGCAATTTCAAGTGGTTCCTACTAATCAATTGCTTTGGTGATTACATACATTAGCTTTATTATTATTTTTTTCTCGAGGAGCATACAAGTCATACATATTGTTATCATTGAGCTCAAAACTACATGTGCATGTGTAAATCGCATTAAAAATGAAGAATTGCATGTTAGGTTCTATTAAGGTTTGTGCCAATCAACATCACCTTTTGTGTAATCTATAATTTCTGTCATCAATCTGAGAGTTTTTTACAGAATTTTGAATTGTTGCATTTGCATATAAATTTTATTCAGTATAATATAGTGGATTATATTTCCCTTGACTTTCTGTTACTGAAAACCAACCAAATTTAGGAACCAGCCATCGATACTCTCAAGGAAATTGAAGCCTTCCTATCTGCAAACCCATCAGAGATTATCACATTAATATTGGAAGATTATGTACATACACCTAATGGATTGAATAATGTTTTCAATCGATCCGGTTTACTGAAGTTTTGGTTCCCATTGTCAAAAATGCCGCAAAATGGCCAGGATTGGCCATTGATAAGTGACATGGTTGCAAACAACCAACGCCTTCTTGTCTTCACTTCCATCAGATCTAAGCAAGATAATGAAGGGATTGCTTACCAGTGGAACTTCATGGTTGAAAACCAGTGTAAGCGTTGCATCTTCCTCTTATGAATATCTACTTCTCCCATATTTTAAACATGATAAAATTTTCTTTGATTCAAGTTGTGTACCAATTTTCATGCTCTTTTTTTCCCCTCTAAAATCTTGTGTCTAGACAAGGGGTTGGCTGACCCCTATCGTTTTGTTCAAGGCCAAATTACAGTTAAATGACAACGACATCTGAAAATCAAAGCAATAAAGCCTAATATAGCTAAAACATAAGTGCACGCAGACATTTGCCGGCATACAAAATGAAAGAGATTGAAAATTACAGAAACAAGGAAATCATCCCATTAGTCTCAACTGAGTGAAAGAAAATATTGCCAATCCATCATAGTAGTGTCATAGCAACTACTTTCCAAAGAAAAAGGATCCTATCAGTTAAAGATAATCATTTAATATGGATGATGATGTAGGATACTTTGGGTATAGGGTTTACTTATATAAACCTAAAATGAGATGAACAAAGAAATAAATAAAAGTTCACAATTCACATATTCTAAACTTTCAATTTTAGTTAAGACGAGACATTTGACACAAAGTCAGAAAACATACTTTATTGAGTTTATTCAATTGAAACGATAATTTAGATGTCGTCAAATATGAATTTTCACAAGAAATTTGAGAATCAAACATAATACTTTATAATAGTTTAAATTTACATTATGAAAAGGAAAATTGGCCTACATTAAACTTGATAAAATCTCAGTTATAAACACAAATCAATCATTAGATGGTTTAGTTGAAACGACCAAGCAACGTGCGTGTCGACGTGATGCATCACTTGAAGGATCAAACGACATCCGATTGTCAAACGGATTGCACCGTTGCAATCAAGATGTCGAATTCGCCCAAGTGGGGACCCTTCGCAGTTAAATCAGACCGGGATGACCGACACCCAAAATTGACGTGCGAAGTAGCCCAAATGAAGTCCGATCGCGAAACGTATTTTTCTGTTGCGTACGAAACATCGTCAACACCCAAAAATCATTATCAACTCGTTTAATTGGAGTCATCCGAGGTGCGATATGAATCCCGAGGCAACGACATGTAAAACAAGGAAATTGGTGTGCGACGCCACCCAAATGACGTTTGTTCGTGAAACGGATTTCATTATTGCGTTCAAAACATCATTTATACCTAAAAGTGACAATAAATTTGAGCAATTAAAGCTGCATGAGAATATTGGCAAGCATCTCGACGAAATGCGCACATATCAAGGAAATTATCGTGCGACATTGCCCAAACACGTCTAATCGCAAGATGGACTTCTCCGTTGCGTTCAGAACATCATCAATACTCAAAAATCACTTTCAATTTGGTCAAAGAAAGTTGCCCGATGAAATTGACGCGGGTCTAGAGGCAATGACGTGCAAATTGAGGAAATTGACGCATGCCGTTGCTTAGAAGACGTCCAATCGTGAAGTGGAGATTTTGGATGGAGGAGACAAAATGCATCCGCTAGAGTCGCTCTCTAGGGAGGAGATAAGTAGCGGGTACGAACGAAGGGATGTTGATTTTATATGGAGAGGTGCGGAATATGAACGTCGGGGTGTTGATTTTGAAAGGAGGAGAGCGGATTTTGATGAAGGCTTTGGGTTTGAGCGCCGAAGGGTAGAGCATGACACTTGGGGAGAACATCCTTTGCGAGGAATGGGTGGCCATGGAGGATTCAGGGAAACGGAGATGACCTGAGAGTAAGGAAGCTGAAGATGCCCATCTTTGAGGGAGAAGATGAACATGGGTAGATATACAAGGTGGAAAGGTACTTTGCAGTTAACGGGTTGACAGAGGAGGAGAAATTGATAGCGACAAGACTTTTTTGGAGGGGAAGGCATTGGCGTGGTATCAGTGGAGGGACATGATGCAACCCATTTGGAGTTGGAGGGAGTTCAAGGACTGTTTACTAGAACGTTTCCGAACTAGTAGGGGAGGAGACTTCTATGTGCAGTTCTTCGCCCTGACACTGGAGGGGAATGTGGTAGACTACCATGAAAGGTTCAAGTACCTTGCCAGTAGGCTAGACCGACTGTCAGAGACAGTGCTAGAGGGGAACTTCATGATGGGGCTTAAACTAGAGATCCGAGTAGCAGTTAGAGTGATGAGGCCATGTGACTTGTGGGAGGCCATGGTGCTGGCATGGTTGGTGGAGGACCAAAAGTACCTGGAGAGGGGGGCTAGGTGCAGCAGGTCAAGGGACAGGATGACTACCACCTTCTTAGCTCCCAAGGGGCCCACACCGAGGAGTCTGAGAGAAGTCTCGAAGGAGAAAACTGGAGGAGGGAGATTTGGGAGAAATTTCAAGAAGCTTATTGAGGAGTTGCAGTAGATGCGGGCAAGGGGGTTGTGCTTCATATGTGATGAGAAGTACACGTCGGGGCATAGATGCAAGAACTGAACTTTTCAGGTTCTCATCGTTTGTGATGCCGAGGAAGCTGAAGAGGGAGGTGAGAGTGGGTCATTGGAAGAGGAAGAGGAGAAGTTACATCTAGATGTGGAAAAAGTCTTTATGAACTTCGTGGTGGGATTCACCTCAAATCACACCATGAAAGTGAAGGGAGAGATAGTTGACAGAGAGGTGGTGATGCTGATCAATAGTAGGGCCACCCACAATTTCATCTCCAATCGATTGTTGATTTGTTGGGGGAGAAATTAGTGGACACTGGAGGCTATGGGGTGATGATGGGCACAGGGAAGGTGAAGATTGGTAGAGGAGTATGTAGGGGAGTAGTGTTTACTATTCAGGGGATTGAGGTGAGGGAAGATTTCCTTCCCTTTGAATTTGGAAGCACTGACATCATCCTTGGGATGAAGTGTTTACAAACCTTTGGAGATACCAAGGTAAATTGGGGAGCGTTAAGGATGGAACTGGAGGGGGAGGGAATGAGGATGGTGATTAAGGGAGATGCAGGATTATCTAGAGCTATGGTGTCTCTTAAGACCATGGTCGGGACCATACAGAAGATGGGGGGAGGGATCCTGGTGGAACTCCAGAGCTTAGAAGGGGTGACTTTGGAGGCAGGGGGAGACATTCCTTTGTCAATACAACTACTCATTCAGCAATTCAAGAGGGTTTTTCAACCACCCCAAGGCCTATCCCCTCAGAGGGAGCTGGAGCACTCCATTACACTGAAGGAGGGGGCGTCACCAATCAGTGTTCATTCACACCGCCACCCTCAAATTCAGAAGGATGAGATATATAAGCTAATTCGTGAGATGTTGGAGGAAGGGATCATCAGGCTGAGTGTGAGTCATTTCTCTAGTCCAATCCTACTGGTCAAGAAGAAGGATGAGAGTTGGAGGTTTTGTATGGATTACAATGCATTGAATATGGAGACTGTGCCGAATAAGTTTCATATTCCTGTGATTGATGAGTTACTTGATGATCTATATGGAGCAGTGGTGTTTTTCGAGTTGGACTTGAAGTCAGACTATCATCAAATCAGAATAAAAGAGGAAGATGTTTAGAAGACGGCTTTCATGACATACGAGGGGGACTACGAGTTTCTGGTGATGCCGTTTGGGCTTACTAATGCTCCTGCTACTTTCCAATCCTTGATGAACAGGGTGTTTCGGCCGTAACTCTGAAAGTTTGTCTTATTTTTGTTTGATGACATGTTGGTGTAAAGCAAGACCAAAGGGGAGCATTTGAAACATTTGAGGGTGGTCTTTGAAGTTTTACAGGAGCGTCAGTTAAGGGCCAACCTAAAGAAGTGGAGCATCGCACAGGCTAGGGTGAAGTACTTGGGGCATGCGGTATCACATGAAGGGGTGGCAGCTGATCAAGCCAAAATATAGGCAATGTAGAAGTGGCCTTTACCTAGGAACGTGAGAGAGTTGAGGGGTTTCCTAGGATTGACATGATACTACCAGAGGTTTGTGAAGGGGTACAACAACATTGCTTGGCCTCTGACATAACAGTTAAAGAAGGATGATTTTTTGTGGGGGCAGTGGCTACCCAGAATTTTGAGAGATTGAAGAAGGCGATGACCACAGTACCAGTTTTGGCTTTACTAGATTTTAGTCAGACTTTTGTGGTGGAGACAGATGGTTCCAGATATGGGTTGGGGGCAGTGCTGATACAAAATCATAGACCCATAGGCTACTTCAGTCAAGTGTTGACAGCTAGAGCTAGGCTGCAGCCTGTGTATGAAAGAGAATTGATGTCTATCATATTATCCATTCAGAAGTGATGTCCATACTTGCTGGGCCGACACTTAATCGTCAAAACATATCAAAGGAGTTTGAAGTATATGCTGGAGTAGAGAATGGTGACTGAGGAACATCAGACGTGGATGTCCAAACTCTTGGGATACGATTTTGAGATTCATTACTAACTAGGGTTGGAGAATAAGGCGGCTGATGCCTTATCCAGGTGTGGGGAGAGCTCCAGGAGATTACCATTTTAGTACCCTTGATGGTGGATTGGGGGGCTATTAAGGAAGAAAGTGTACTGGATGAGGAGTTGAGGAAGATTCTGATGGATTTGTTACATGATAGTAGCAAGCCACCAAGGCTATTCCCTTGAGGGAGAGAGGCTATTGTACAAAGGGATATTTGTGATGCCACGAACCTCCATCCATATGCCCCACCTACTGCAAGAGTTCCATGGAGTGTGGTTGGCGGCTATTCTGGGGTACATAAGACATACAAAAGATTGGCGGCTGAATTATACTAGAAGGGTATGCATAAAGATATGGAGGAGATTATGACAAGGTGTGAGGTGTGCCAGAGAAACAAGTACGTGGCTATGGCTCCAGGGGGTTACTACAACCCTTAGCACTTCCATACAGAGTATGAGAGGAAGTGTCCATGGATTTCATAGATGGTCTACCACGATCTGAGGGATTCACATTTATTATAGTGGTGGTTGTCAGGCTGAGTAAATATACACATTTCATCTCCTTCCGACACCCCTAAACCACAGTCACAGTGGCTACAACATTCATCAGGGAGGTGGTTAGGTTTCAGATAATTTCAGAGTCG